GAAAGGGAGCTTTTGGCTAAATATATTATCTTGCATCAGGAGAAGTCTGGAGCTCAAGCAGTTTAAGATTTAGTTAATGCAAAGGCTTAAAAATATTGTTAGGCACTTAGATTAGCTCTGACTTTCTGCTCTGCTTTCCCCAGCACATTGGTTTATTCTCTGAGGCAGGCTCACCCCACAGTCACAAAATGGTTGCCAAGTCCCAGGAATCACTTGCAGATAATAATGAGTAGAGACAACAAGAGATAAGAATGTGCCTGTTTCATGGATGCTTTAAAGAGTGAAGAACATCTTCCAAGATGCCTCTGCCAAAAGAGCCCTTCTCATGAGGCATTGTCCAGAATGGCATCACATACCTGTCTGTGTCTCAGCTAGGGAAATGAGACCACCACAACTGTCTCCCACAAGTCAGGAATTCTTTTTGGGCTGGGGGTGGGAGGGACTGGAGGTTTATCATCAAGGATGAAGGGAGGAATAAGGGCTGTGGAGCAGGCAGCCAACAGTGTCTGCCCGGGGTCCTCCATGGCATCCATATTGGCAGCCAGTTCCCTGTGTGTGAATTCCCTGTTAGAATGGCCCTCCTTTCCATCATTGACTCTGGGGGTCATTGCTTGGTCATTGGAACTCCTCACCCAGTACCTTCAACAGAGGCCTGGACCCTGTAATGGAAACTTTTCAGTGGTTGCCAAATCCTGTCCTTAATACTATATTGAACATACCAAATCCTGAAAGATGTGGAATAGGAAAAGCCAGGGCCAAGGGCAGTTTCCAATACTAAATCCTTGGTGATAATGCAGGCTTCAAACCTATCAGGCTGAGACCTTACCTTTTGTGCTCCTTGGGTTGTAGAAAGAGCATCCATCCTCGAAACAGAAACCTGTCAGATGCTTTGGATATACTGACAATACATTGATGAGAATTGAATACCCATAAATTGCACAGCCCCAGGACCCCAGTGGGTGCCCTGTCTCACTGCTTATGATTCAGAAACCCTGTTTATTTGTATCAAGGACAGTTGATACTTTAATCATCAATAAACTAACGTTCCAGCAGCCTGCCATAAATTTCTTGTCAAAGCAGAGATTATTAGAGCACTGTGATGAAAGATAATCCCTACCTAGACTTATATTTGTCACTTTCAAAGCCTCCAGTTGCAGGGCTTGGGGGTTACTACAGTGAGGAAAACGTCGCCAAACAGAACCCTGTGTTTCCTACTTTCAAAATATCCGTGAGTTAATTGACTTGCATATTTTGACCAACAAGTAGCACCAGCTCTTTTCACTGAATGAAAAATTGAGTTTTGAGAGCAAATATTTTGTAAGGAAATGGAGAACAGATACTAGTATTCTCTCTGGTTATAACTGTTAAAGAGTGGACATCTCTCAATGATTGCTAGCATTTATTATATTAATTATTAATAATAAAATCTGATTCCTTAATAATAATACAGTCGTACTTACGGTTTATTGAGAGCACCATGCTGGGCACTTTTTATCCCATATCTGATTGAATCTTGCAACAGCCTTATCGAGTAGACATCCTGTCTATCTTACTAAGTAAATGGTTGCTCATTTGCATATGAGGAAGCCGTGGCTGACTGAACTAAGTCACTGCCACACTCACAGAGCCATTAAGTGGCAGAGCTGTATTTGAGGCAGAGTTCTGAGCCATTTTCTAGCTCACTGCAATGTGCAGGGGGTTCAAATGAGAATATTAAAAATGAGATTATTTCTAGACTAAGACAACAAACTAAATGTGAATTAATTTTCCCTTCTCGCATTAAGGATTCTTTTCCTAAGCAGATACCCACAAATTACCTGCATGTGCTGGTTCCCTGAGACAGCTAAGCCTTAGCTCCCTAGGACTCCAAGAGGGTGGTTTGATTAGGTGGTGACTTCTTTCCCACTGGCAGCATTGTGGTGAGGGTAGGGAGGCTTGCCAGAGTCAGAAGTTTTATGGGAGATCTGTTGCACTAAGTGATGGTCCAGTTCCTAGCTAAGGGATGCTATGTTGGTTCCAAGCTCTTCTAGGAATCAGTTACTTGTAGGACCATCATGGCCTTCTGCTCACGGGATGTCTTCAGATTGTTTCTATTAATCCATTCATAAATAAGTTCAACAGTCTCATTTCCCCAGATGCAGGGGAGGGTGGAGAGAAGCCAGAGATGCCTGGTGGTCATGGTTGGCCACGGAGCAGCTTTTGTGCCCCCACCATGGAACGGGCTCTGTATTCGTTTTCTAAACTTCCCACAACAGAACACCACAGACTGGATGGTTTCAACAATAAGAACTTGTTTCCTCACTGTATTGGAGGGAAGCTGGAGGTCCAAGATCAAGGTGGTGGCAGAGTTGGTTTTTCCTGAGGCCGCCTTCCTTAGCTTGCAGACGGCCGCCTTCTCGCTGTGTCTTCACATGGTGATCCCTCTATCTGTTGGGCCCATCCCTGGTGTCTTTTCCTTTTCTTACAAGGATACCAGTCATATTGGGTTAGGGATCTACCTTCATGACTTAATTTAAGCTTAATGACCTCTTTAAAGGTGCTACCTCCAAATAGTCTCATGTCACGGGTTAGGACTTCAATGTATGAATTTGGGAGGGACACAATTCAGTCTATACCATGGCCCATGCTGGCCATGAGGGATGATTTGGTGAATAAGGAGGAAACAGTCCCTGCCTTCCATCAGTTTTCAGGAGAGAAGAGAAGACAGTCTATAAAAACAGAAAAAAAATTCACTGACTTAAATAATCACAAGATGGTTAGCACTGTGACAAGGAGTGTAAGGTCCTAATGCAGCTTAGAACAGGTGACTCCCACTCTCTGTAGGGGGTGGAGAAGGCTTCCATAAGGAGATGAGCTTGGAACTAAGGTGCAAAAGGGAGAAGGAGGAGTTTAGGCAGGAGAAGGAGGGCTTGGAATGAGGAGGAGAGCCAAACAGTAGGTGTGACCAGGACATTAAGGTCTGGTCCTATTCCAGACAGTTCCAGGAACTGAAAGGCAGCCTGCATGGCACATACCTGGAAAACAAGGGCGAGGGATTGTCCAAAAGAACATAGGATCCATAGCTGCAGCCCTTGGTAATCATATCTAATGCTGTGGAATAGCAGTGGATTTGCTCAAGAAGTGATGGTTTGTGATTCTCTGTCTACATCCTGTTTGTTGAAATCAGACATTCTCAAAAATTCTGGGTCCCTAAGACTCATTTAGGAATTTATTTTAAAAATATCTCTTCCTGAACCCTACTCCCCAGTGATTCTGATACATCCTGGATGGGGTCCAGGAATCTGTATGTTCAACAAACACTCCTGGTTCTTCTGGTGCAATGGCCCAGAAACCCAATCTAAAGTTGACATGTTACTTAGAAAAGCCTAGAAAAGTTGAGTACTACCAGACCTATTGGAATGTCTTCCAGATCCAACCAAAGAGGGTAGGGTAGAAACTAACCTTTGCTGAGCCATTACATTGGGGACACTGTAGTAAGTGCTTTGTGTATATCAGCTCTTTCAATTGAATACAACAGTCCTACCGAAGGGGGGGGCACATGAGTATACCCATTTTACAGATGAACAAAGTAAGGGACTGAGGGCTAGATGTGTTTTGTTTTTAATGTCATACAGCTTGTAAGTGACGGAGTAGACACCCAAACACCAGGTTCACATGGCCCTGCAGTGCATGTGCTCTCAAAGTATAGTCTCTAGCACTCCTGGTACCTACTGAGCACAGAGGCTGACAGTGCTTTACACACTTTGACTTCTCATTGTCGTTAGGTGATCCAGAAAGGCTTGGATTGTGGACCTGATTTGAACCAAGAGTTTGCTGTTGATTCTCTTCAAAAACCTGGCAAAAGCCCTTGGACCTCACTCATTCCTTTTACTTGTCATACACATTATTAATCTTTACCAAAAAATCCAGATTGCTTAGGAAAATAAAATACAACTTGGGACAGAACCAGAATTTTCCAAACGATGAACTTTTCGACATAGTTTGTATCTCAACCCAAAGGCATTCTGTCCCTAAGTTTAAAAAAAAAGTAATAATAAAATAAAATAGAGTTTATTTTAAAAATTGCGTTGCAAACTCCTTTGGAGTACATTGCTGCCTTATTGGATGAATCACATTTTTAACTTTCACTTCCCATCAACTTAAACATAATCTGTCAAGGAATTGATGGGCCAGTTGACTGTAAATGAGTTTGCCTTTCATGCAGTGCTGTTCCGTCTGCTTTCCACAGAAATGAGTCCAGGTCATTCCAATATATTTAATTAATTTTAGAGATGAAATTATTTTGCCCAATAACTGGAATGCTAATAGGACTTATTGTAATGGTTCTGTTCACGTTTGTTGGCTCGAAAATAAACGCCTTCATTTCACTATTTGCCTTTTGGTTGCAGCCCGTTAACCCGTCATACACCGTAACCTGATGAACATGATGGCTTGATTGTAAGTTAATGTGCACCTAGTTTTTGGAAAGCAGATTTCTATCTTAACTGCTAAGTTTTGCCCCCCAAATGAATTGGAGTTTCCAACAGAAGGATGGATTGGAGTGACATAACTCATACTTTTGAACATAGTGGCTTTATCGGTGTCTTGATAACACAAATTTGAACTGATTTTTGGAAGTTAGAATAAAGTGAGGAGAATAAGTCTTAGCTCGCTAGAGCATAATTGGGGCATTGAGATTTTTGGAGGTGTACTCCATCTGTAATGGGGAGAGGTTGCCAGTAGTAAGGGAGGGACAATAGAACCTCTCTCGAATCGAAGGCAGAGTTAAAATCTGCATATTAATAGCTTTCCTGCTAGTCCCGAATAGATTCATTCTTCACATCTCAGATATATAAAGCTTAGTTCAAAATAAATTCTGGGGAACGTTCAACCTGATTGAATCTGCTGTAAGCTCTGTTAATATATTTGTTCGAGTCACTTGCACTCAAAAGCTTTTTAGGCAGAATATCACTTTTTTATATTATTCATGGTAATGTAATTCCCCCCTTTAATCTCTTCAGGGTTTCCCATCAAGTCATGATATGCGGTTCAGAGAAAGTTGGATCGACCATTAATCACACTATCTGGACTTCTCTGTGTCTACTTTTTGTCCGTCTTTTAAGTCAGTCCCTGGCGGCAGCAGCAAGACCTGGGGCCACTGCAGACCATTTGATCGAAGTGCTCTTGTCAGGAGATGGGGTGGCTCATCTGCAAGCCAGCTAAGGGAAATCATTCTGGGCAAGGAAACAAAACCAAACAGCACGAACAAAATCACTGCATATTATCGGAATCAAGTACATTCTAAATGACTTAATCCTACAGTTTGGATATCAAGCCTAGGGGTAAAATGCACTCTGTAGATGACTTGAGTGATCCAAATACCTACAACGTATATATGCATAACCTGTATTAGGCAGGACACCTGTCAGAGATGGGGACTCTTTAAAGCTGTTTTTATTTGACCAGGCAAAGTAAACAAGGGCATAGTGCGTTGGGGGGGGGGGGGGCAAGAAGGGGAGAAAAGCCCACATTAGAAACACCAGATACATGGTACATGTTCAAGAAATATTTGTGGTTGAATTCAGGTTCCTGGTATACATCAGATTTTTATTTCAAAAATAATGATTGTGAATCTTTAAAAGTTCTTTGACTTTCTCTTCTTTCCTAACCCCAAAGTAGTAACTCATAAATACCGTCATTAAAATGATCTTATTTGATCATTTAAGACCAAAAAGTGACAAAGCCAGCTTAAGGATTTGAGGGTCATAGAAATTAATTTTTGGCCTAGAACAGGGTGGGCAAACTTTGTAAAGGGCCAATTAGTAAATATTTTTGGCTCTGTGACCTGTAAAGTATCCATCACAACCGCCAAACTGCTAAGTATAGTAAAAGCAGCCATAGATACATGTAAACAAGGGGACATGGATGTGAGTCAATAAAATTTTATTTACAAAAATGGTGTTTGATTTTTGTGGTTTAAGAACATGCTATTTTCGATCTTGGATGAGTGTTTGTCTTTTGAATTTTCGTTTCTTTCTGACATAACACAAAGCCCTTGCTTTGGGATTTCTCGTTAACCGTGACACACTTCTCATGGAACGTCTTACTCCTGGGCTTCTTGGGGAACAGCGACAGAACTGGAATGGTTGGTTGGAGCCAGTGTGGACATGATTCTTTCCATACTCGGGCAACTGGGGAAAACATCAAGAGTTTGGAGTAAGGATTTGGAACAAAAAGATTGAAGGCCAACTTCATTTTTTTTTTTTTTTTTTTTAGGATAAAGAGAAAAAGGAACAGGGGAGATGATGTGCCTTCTCACTTGGCTAGAGGCTCAGGGTTAATTGATGAATCTGTTATAAGGGTGTGTTGTAAAGTCTTTTGAGGACAGATGCTGCATAGTTAGGCTTCTGAGTAACAGAAAATATATTCCATGATGAAGGCATTAAGGAATCATGCTATAGGTTTTAGAAGAAACCTGAGGAAAACAGAAACCTCAGACTTTTCCCTGGGTGTTACTTAGGTGGCTTGTCTTCTAAACATTTGTGTATCGTGGTCTGAATTTTCCAAAGAGAAGAGGGGTAGTGGTCATGTGGACTCCTGTTTCTTTGTTTATATTTAAAATGTTAACCCTAAAATTGACTCAGTGTAGTAAGGAAGTGGGAGACTGTCTCCCTGCTTCCTTGGAGACAAGGACATCCATTGTATTGTTGCAAATGCTTGAATGTTCCAGGGAGGCAGGGCTAAGGAGATCTGGTCTGTTCCCTGTCACTCTTTCAAAGGAGAGGAGTACTCCAAAGCTACATGAGTGCACGTGCTAGCTGTTTGCTCCCACAATTCTGCTCTGGATGGTGAATCGCATTGGTGGGAAGCAGGCACTTCCAGCCACCACGGCTCGGATCGCCAGGGGCTGAGAAGCCCTTAGGGCCCCATCCTCCCATGAAGCTGCCCTGACAAAGCAGGCTCTGTCTCCTTTCACCAGACCAGCGTGATGGCTCTCCGTTTTATGCTCGAGATCAAAATCAGTGGAAACCAGTTTCGGCTTTCCCCGTCCAGGGCTGGGTGCCCAAACAGGTGTCGTGTCAGCTGGATGGTTTCCAGTCCACAAATCCAGCTCCTTCCACACGTGGCAGCAAACGCAGGGAGGCTCTCAGGATTGAGTGGGAGAGGGTTCTGGCTGTCTTACTAAAACCAGGTCCTAGTGGGGGCCGAGCCATCCTTGGCTTCCTGACATGCTTTCTTACCCATTCGCTGGGGCACCCTCTGGAAGGAAGATGATGGAGGGGTCCCTGGTGGGGTGACCCTCTGATCAAGGCACTCCTTAAATGGACCCCAAATTTCACATGGAAGTGTGACATCCAGTTAAAGCTAGATTTTCCTAACCCTGGATGCCCCCCCGCCAAAAACATGAAGATTATACTGTGATACTGTTCTGATGAAGTTGTCTTACCCTGTAAACTGTCATGTGAGTTATACAAAGCCATCTCCTTCCATACAGGGTGTTTTATTTGAGATCCAGGAGTAAAAGGCACATCTGTACCCTCCATAGCATCTGAATCTTAATGAATGAAAGCACAGAGAGTTCTTTAAAAGGGACTTGTATGGGTCTGTTTATAGTTCAATAGCATTTTATAATCTTACTCCACATTGGATGCCGACTGTCAGCCATACATGGAAGTGAAGCTCTCTGCTGGTTTCCTGAGCAAGGTGGCTGTGGTCAGAGACGTACTGAACACGGAGTACCCCATGGGCCAATCCGCTGCACACACAGCCTCCGCCCTTGTCTCCAGTGTGCATGTCCCCTGGAAGTTTCTTCTGTGGCTATCTTCGTTGTTTGTCTTCCTAAAGAGAAGCAGGTTTTAAGTTCCTTATCATTCATCCATTCTTTATTCCTTCTTCAGTCTTTTCCTTGCTTCTTTTCTCCCCGCCCCCACCTCCCTTCGTCCCACCCTTCCTTCCCTCTTTTCTTCCCTTCCTGTTTTGATAGGCTTTAATTATTATCCAGGTGTGGAGATCAGGAGACCACTGTTATCAGAAGGTTGGTTTGGGATACTCACGGATCCCAAGACAAAGGGGACCCACCATGCCATGGGGCCACACCGAGCAGCTCCAGGGTTGTTGAGGAAGTGGAGGGAGAAGGGAGCCTTTATTGTGGTTTCTGCTGAAAGGACCAGGGAGGGAGGGTGAGCCGACTTAAGATGGACTAATTTGCATCATTTCAGTGGGCTCTGGGGCAGAGGGGCTCTCCCTGGTTACCTGGTACCTGGCCATGGGGTGATCAGGGCAGGTGGATAGTGGCCCAGAATGTGGGAGTCCCATAATGGAGGCGGTGGAGTTACGGGCTCTGGAGTGGCTGGTTTGCATTTGAAAAGTGCGCTGATACAGGAGTTGTTCCCTGTCTCTAGCATTCAACTAACACTGGGAAGGGTCTGCTTTTGGACCAAAGACCAGGACCATCTTGTTTGTCTTTTAAATCATAGCATTGGATGGGACTGTCCAGGATACCTAGGGCAGTGCTCCATTCACTGCACGCAGATTTGATTATTTGACTCTTTTCTTCTCTATTTTTGAGTCACTCCCAGATTTCATGACTCCCAGAAGTCCACTGCCCACCCAAAGCCTAGGACTCTGAGTGGTCGCCCAGTGCGCCGTGATGACAGAAGTGGGACCTAATGCAGGAGAACATCCACGGATTGCACAGAATTTGTAATCCTTACCCAAGCATTAATTTTGCTGCGTAGGCAGCCTGTTCTCCCACAAAGCACTGACTAAGAAGAAAAGGGGCCCAGAGCCCCCAGCAGGGCCTGGCTGACAGCTTGTGGTTCCCTGGCCATTGAAGGTTCTGAGGAAGGTGGAGACATCAGCAGGAGGGAAGGAGAATTTGGAAGGAGCATTTTTGTGGTTTATTTTCTTCCCTCCTTCCCTCCCTCCCTCCCTCCTTCCCTCTATCCTTCCCTCCCTCCTTCCTTCTCTCCCTCCCTCCCTCCCTTCTTTCCTTCCTTCCCTCTCTCCTTCCTTTTTAATAATTTTTAATTATAAACATAGTTAATGCTATGAATGCGCAAAAAATGAAAAAAAAAAAAAAAAAAAAACAACCCTTCTGGCTTTTTACAATCCTCTGGAGGCATGCATATTTCTAAATTTAAATATACTTTCCGACCCTGTCTGGAGAAAGGAAGTATTTTTTGGCCAAGCTAAAAGAAAGGGAAGACATTGCCTTTTATTCTCTTGCCCATGTTGCAAAACATGTTTTTTCTTAACATTGTTCATTTGATGCAATTATTGCTGAATATTATGAAGCACCCAGAACTGGAACTTTGGACATTGTGACTTTGGGCAAATTACTTTTTCTCTCTGCACCTCAGCTTATTCATCTGACATCTGAGTAATGGGGATAATAGCACTATCTACATTCCAGAGCTTTTGTGAGTAGTCCTCAAGATAATGTGTAAGAGGGGCCATTACACACTTTACACTAAGGGGGTGTCACTTCCTCCTGCCAGTATTATTATTATCATTCCCTTCACTCCTGAAGAGCCTTATTCTTCACCTGAAGTAGGCAGAATGGGGCATATTCACTCTTTGGAAAAGGAAAAAAAATCTCACAATTTCAAAGGACTTTACGTTTGGAGTGATTTTACTAGAAACTTCAGAGAAGCCTCCTGTTTTGACATTGCCCACAAATACCGGAGGAAGACTCTTCTGAGCATTGCCAAGGAGAAAAATGAGAATGCCAGCTTAAATAAATGTTATCCCAATCTCTGCAGAATCGTGATGTGTCCGATTTTTTAAAATGTCGACTGCAGGGTATTTATTATTCAGTGATAATAATAAATCGCTGCTTCTGAAATCCAGGGACTCGAGTGTCCTGGAGGGAGGAAGCAAAGTGCAGAGAGAAGAGCTTCGAGAGGCAGAGGTCCAGCCAGACCCGGGCTATTAATCATCGCCCTCCATTATTTCCTGAAGATTCATTCATTGTTCCGTAGGTACCTAGAGGGTCAATTAGAGACCACAGACAGGCTTTTTCAGAGACACAGGAGGGTCAATTAGGCCCTCCTTATAATTTTCTGCTTTAACAGCAAATGCCAGCCTATTGCAAATCAGATGCAAGGGAGTTTGGAAATAAACAGGGTACTTTCCCTCCTCCTCCTTTAAAAAGAAAGAAAGGAGAAAAAAAAAAAAAAGACTTCACAACGAGATATGGAGGCGATCAGCTCTTGGTAACATATGGCTTGCTGTCGGGCTCCAGTTCAAGTTAGGCAGAGGGGATCTTATCATTGACACTTGTGGGGACAGAGCACCGGGAACGCTCAGGGAATTTCTGTGATGGAATGGTCTGTTCCCATCTCTGAGGTGATTGATTTATCTCGGGTGCAATTGGAACTACACTGGCATGAGGGTACGATTATAAAGAACACAAAAGGGTACCTGAAATCAATGGAAACAGATACTCACCCTGACACAGTGGGTCACCACTGCCCACCCCAGGTTTGGGAATGATTTCAACTAAACGCACATAAGTACTGTTTTGCATGACACCGATTTTTACTCGTTTTACCCTGGGATTGGCAAACAAAGTTTGAAACACATTGCAGCAAAGTCAGAGGAGGAAGGGAATTGTCCTAAGTGATGGAAATATGGAAGGAAGATGGTCAGAAGTCTACGTACCCCCTTTTCTCCTACGATTTCGAAGTGGCTTGCTAGATTTTGACTCTGCCTGTTCTGAATGTCTAATCTTGTTAACGGAATGAAGGACATATTACTGCTCTGCTTCGAGATCCTTTTCTACCTCTCTACCACCAAATAGAGATCTGGAAGTGGAAAAGAAATACTTTTCGTGTGCAAAAACCAATTCTAACTCAAGTGATGTTTTTTTCTTCTTCTGGGATTTCAGTGCTACTTCTGAGCCCCAGATTGTCCGATGTATTCAGATGTTTGTTGAGAGCTGGCTAACGTGCAGGCGCTATTCTAGATCCTGGGGAACCAGCAGAGAATAAGGGAGGCAAAACCCCTTAAGTTCCAGAATGCTGGAGCCCAGCCGCCAGGGCTGCTTTTACTTTCAGCTTATATATATCCTGCATGATTTTCAAGAAAGGAATTAGGACGGAAGCTGGGAAGGGTGAACTTGTGTCTACTGGAGTCTTTGCTAAATCCACTGAAAACTGTCCCATTTTTTTTTCATTTCCCTGAGAAGAGGACATGAGTGTGCATTTCTTTAGAGCAGGGAATTTGCCTGTTTTTGTCCACTGTTGGTTTTTCTGAGTCTGAAACAGTACCTGGCACATGGTGGGTCCTTAGTGAGTATTTGTTGACTCAATGAACTCATGGCCGGTGGGCAGTGGAGGGAAATGATTCTGGGGAGCTGGCCTTTCTCCCAGCCCCCTGAGCAGCTCCAGCCCCTAACTGCTGCTGTCTCCCCGGGAATCAGCTTTTTTATTCCCCACATTTTTGCTTTCTGATCAAAAGCAAGAAGATCTAGTGCTTGGACCCTCCACCCTCATTTCCAGCTTCCATCCCCAAAGTTGCCAGTATGTGGCTTGCAGATGTCTTTTGTTGGGACTGCTGGGTTTTTGTTTCCTTCATGAAATAAGTTAGTTGCCAACATTTTACAAATTGGGAGACTTTACATCACAACTGGGATTTCCTGCTTCTCTTGAAAAAACAGAGCTGGCATCATTTGCCTGTGCTTCCAAGTGGTAGCAGCAGGCTGGATTTGAGCTGGGCTGCACCTCTCTAGCTGGGCTACCCTTCTCTAGCTGGGCTGCATGTCCGTTGGCTTTCCGTGGTGCCCATCAGGCCCACTTCACTCATAGAAACTGCCTGGCCTCCTAGGAGTTGGAGTCTGTAACCCCTATATGGCAATGACACTAATTCATGAGCCTGCCCATTCACACCCTGGTTATCATGAGAGCCTCTCATAGGCCTCCCTGACTCCAGACCTCTGATTCATTGAGCTGACTGCCATCTTGGCTCCCTGGTCTCAGAGCTGATGGTGCTCTGAAAGGCCTGCCTTATTTATATAGATCCTTCTACGTAGAGGGTTCTTTTTTCCCTATTCCAAAGAAACTTTGACTCTTCCAGAAGGCTTGCCTGAACCCTAAAGCCCCTCTCCCTGCAAGATTTGAGTGTGATTTGGGTACCCCTCCATCCTCCATTGTTCTCATAATGTCCTCTGCAACCATGATTGTACTGTGGCTATTGACTCTACTGCCAGCCACCCCTGACCATCATCCCCGTAACAACAAGGACTTTGTTGCTCATGGTCACATCCTGGGCATCGAGACAAAATCTGCCCTCTGAAGGAGAGGACACATGGATCTGGCTGGCTGGAGCCTAGCTTGTGTAAGGGACGATGACAAGACTAGCCAGGTAAACAAGGCTAACCTCCCCAGATGCCTTGGGAGTCCCAGCAAAACTCTGGATCTTATCTTCATGGCGACTGAAGGTACTGGGAAGGTTTATGGATATTGCGGTATCCCGCAAGTAATACGGGGACTTAGTGTGCATTTAGAAGGGGCACTCTGGCTTTAGTGAGAAGGATGGGTCTTTAAGGGGCAGGACTGGCAGCAGGTGGGCTCTTAGAATTGTCTGGGCCAGACATTGTGGAGGTCAAAGCCAGCAAAGGATGTGGAAATAAGACGAGGCTACTGATCGAGTATAGGGGGGCAAGTAGGTGGACATCCTACTGTAGGGGGTGGGGGTGGGTAAGACATTACCTAGCCAGTGAATTTGTAAGAATAACTTCACTCCATTTCTCCCCTTCCCCCAAGACTGGTAGTACAGTCTCGTATTAAAGCATGCAGAGAGCAGAGGCTCTGGGTGCCACATATGATTTTAAAGCAGCACTATTAGCAAACATCCACTGGCGTGGTTTTTAGTGTGCATGTATTTTTGTGTATTCCACATGGATTTTCTTTGCCTTTCTTTTTCTTCTTTTTCATCCTCTTCCTTAAGGGAAACCGCATCCTCACAGTTGCTTTTTGGTACAGTGTTCTAACTCATGACTTTAATCATGTGAATGTGTAGCAGAAATGGACAAGAAAATCCTCAGCCCATTTATCTTTCAGACCCCAAGTGTACAGGCACAAAACCACAACTTCCACCCTTTTTTTCCCCTTTATTTCATACCTCACCTCAATTTATGACTTGGCTTACAATCTGTTGCAGAAAGCCCAGCTGCCCAGCTTTCTCCTGAATCTACATTTTTTGATTTTGTCTAAAATAGCCAAGGTCTCGGGAGTTTGCCATTATAATGCTTCAGAGAAATTAGTGACATTGAAGGGTTCTCATCTTTTTGCGTGTGATTTTGGTTATAGGAAGAAATTCACAAAGCCTTTTTTTTTTTTTTTTTTGTCACCTTTGCAGTTCAGGAGATTATATTAGATGTTATTTGATACAAAAAATTTCCCTGGTGGGGCTTTTCTTCATGTCTTAGCTTAGAATAAGTCATGCCACCAAAGTAGGTGCCTTTTGTAGAAACAATTCTGAGCTCTGTTTGGTCTGAACATTTTCTTACTTAACTTTTTGTAAGACGTGGCATAGAAAAGTCATTTCAATAGCTGCTGATCTAGATTCACTGGCAACACTATCATATTACTACCATGAATAATACCAGTGATAAATGTTACTTTGGAACTAATTCTTTAGTAATTAATAAAAAAATCAAGACAGCTATTGTGCTTGAGTTGCTGTGTTAAGAATTTTATACTCTGCAAGCATAGTGACTGTGAAAGCCAAAGAAGTAAATGAAAGAAGGTTTTATTTTAAAGCTGGACTGTGGTATGCTCCTGTATTGGTTTTCCATTGCCATGTAACAAATTATCCCAAACATAGCAGCTCAAAACCACACCCATTTATTAGCTTGAGATTCTGTAGGTCCGGAGTCTTGTGACGGGTTTTCTGCTCAGGGTTTCACAAGGACAACTTCCAGGTGTCAGCTGGGGCTCTGTTGCTTTCTGGAGCTCCTGGAGAGGAATCCACTCCTAAGCTCTGTGGGCAGAATTCAGTTACTTGCAGTTGTAAGATGGGGGCCTCCATCGACTTCCTCTCTGTCACCTGCTGGTCACTCCCAGCTCGTAGAGGCCACCCACATTCCTTGCCCTGTGGCCCCCTCCATCCCCAAGATCATCAACAGAAGCTGTCTTGTGTACTGAATCTTCTCCATGCTTGGGATTTCTCTCTCTCTGACTCTGACATCTAGACCCATGCTTAAAAGGCTCACATGATTAAGATAGTCTCCTTATCTTAAGGTCAACTGATTTGGAGCCTTAATTAATAATCTGCAAAAATCCCTTCCCAGTGGTACCTAGATTAGTGATTGATGGGGTAACTGAGAGAGGTCAGGTGTACACCAGGGCCCAGGTGTCTTGTGGGCCACCTTAGGATTCTACTGACTAAAGCCACTTTTTTTATTTTTTAATAACTAAAAACAAAGCCTACATCTTTTCGGAGACTTTTTCAGATTCAGAAAGCGTAGTCTAAGAGAAAGGGAGTACTTGAGGAAGATAGAAAACACAGAGTAAGGAAGCTTAGGTAGAGCCTCTAGTGCGGAATCTGATTTTATCAGGGATGGCTGTGCCTTCTCTTGTGAGCCAAGCATGTGATTTTGCCTGAAGAGGCAGAATGGGAGCTTGGAGAGAGGGGTTATATGGCTCAGAATCTTTAGTTATCAGCAGATGGGGCTGAGTCAGAAAAGTTTGATATTTTATATGACCTGATTCAACTCATTATCTTCCCTGTGCGTCAATGTTCGCCACCTCAAATCTGTTAATATTCAGATCACCAAATGATTAAGCAGCAGTAAAGGGATGTTCCATTGTTAGCCCCTTTCAGGCATACAGTAGGCACTCAGCACATGTCCCTCCTATTGTCCTCTTCTCTGGATAGAGTGTAAAATCAGATTAGATGGCAAATCCTAGATTTGATCCAGGCACTCTGGAAACCACAGACTTCTTAAATTCTCCATGGGGAATGGGAATACAGGCCTGGGAGAGCCTGGGAGTGTTGCCTCAATCGCCTGTTCCACACACAAAATTCCTCTGAAGTCACATTTTATCTCAAAACCCATGCAAATTCTGCGTTCTGCTCCCGGAGCTAGCCATGTTGTATTGATACAAGACCTAGTGTTTGAATCACTTAGCGGTTGCGTTCACACCCCGGGACACATGTGTTTCGCTAGGGCCAGGACTCGGCAAGCCACACGCCTATGGTGTCGAAGTACGGAGTCACACCCCCCTTCCCCCCACCCCTCCACCCCCCAGTTTGTGCAAGTGCCATCGTGTACGTGCTGGACCCACAGCTCATGTGGCTGCTTCACTGTCTGCCCCTGGGGCACATCACACACCACCATGAGAGAGGCCCGGCAGCCAGGGGACGGATATCCAGGCCGAGTCAAAGGCGCCTCCCTTGACGTAAGGCACTGGGCCCGCCAATGAGCTGATCATTCAACTCTAAGAGGTGTAAGTGTGCCCGCCATGCGTCGCAGTCTTCGACACGGGCAAGACCGTACTGATGGAAGTGATGGCTCTTCAGTGTCGCGACAGAAGAGCACGTGTCTGTCTTCGATGTAGTGATCACATCATGCAGCTCGAGAGCCGCAGACCAAGGAGCTGACACACAGTCGGATAATGACATGAGGACACCACGAGCAAACTCAACAGCTCCGCTCCGTGCCCGGGCGCATGCTGGCACAGATTCCTCTGAAAAGGATTACAGATGTTCTTTTTTTTTTTTTTTTTTTATCCTTTTCCCCATCCCTCCCCCTCTTTCTCTCTTTGCACCCACGGCACTCTGCACTTCAAGCTAAATATAATGTATCTGATTTCCCATCATACACACTAATCAGGTTTGAAAGTTGTCTTGTGAGGCTTTAAAAAGCTAGCCAAGAGCAGTGCGATTTCTCCAAAAGCATGTCTGCAATCAAGGTGATTACGTGGGAAAATAAATCATAATTTATATTGCTGAAAATGGCAATTGCAAAACACTCTAACAATACTTCCCTGAAAGGGAAGTCTATTTTCCCGTGAACCAGGGGTAAGCACTGCCCTTCCGAAATGTTCCCTTTGTTTTATTTATTTCTTTGTCTTTAAGGCACCGGATATCATGGAAGCATTCGCAGACTCAGGGCAACGCGGGGCACCTCAGGGACAGAACCGCCAAGCATTAATGCCAAAAAAATTGAACTGCCCCATGTCGAAGAGAGAGTTCGACGACACTCTGTATCTAGGATACATGCACACATGTGTGTGAACACACTTGCTTCAATTATTTTTGTATAGAAGAAAGAATATTTGAGAACCAAAGGACTTTAGGAGGCCACCTCTCCTCTGCCCACCTGCCTTTGGGTTAAACGACCATAAATCATCCAAGAGAACTGATGAGGGATGGGATTGGGTACTGTCCCTTGGTATTGGGAACTCTCAGTGTGTCCTGCTTGACACATGTTACACCCACAAAGGCCAACCCTTAATGCCTATGGTAGATGACAGAAATGATCACCAAGTCTTCCATCTCCCTTGGACTGTGATGCCGTAGACCCCCACACACCCCCAAAGGCAGGGTCCATTTCTCCACACCTCCGAATCAGCACACCTCGTGGAACTGCTTGGGCCATGGGGCATGCTGGTTTGGGACACAAGTGGAGGCTTAAAAAGTGCCTCTGTGTGGCTGCTTGTGTCCCTGCTGCTTCCGGAAGCTTCCTCGTCTGGGTGCCAACAGCCGAGGCTTGCCTGCTGGGTGAGGAGGGACGTGCAGCCATGTGGCCACACGGTGCCACCCAAGAGCCAGCTGCCTCCTAGGGGCAGAGCTGCCTGGCTAACAGAGGACACCTGCCCAGCTGAGCCCAGCCCAAACTGCTGACCCACCAAATCACAGGCTAAAAATAAGTAACTGTTGTTTTTAGCCAGAAGTTTTGGGGATTTTTTTTTTTTTTTTTCACAGTAAAAATGAGCAGAGACAGTGCTTCCGAATCTGACTCTTCACAAGGTAGTGGAAAGGTGCAGGATAAGTAGTAGTCTTCCCTTTCCTCAGGGGTAGGCCTTGTATGTGGGAGGAGTTCGTTAGCTGGTGAATGAACCCCTGTTGATTCCCCAGAGTCAGTGTTTTCTATCTCAGGAAGCATGTCAAGAAGAAGTTGAGGGTCGCTGAAAATCTGGTCCCTCTCTCACAAGGATCAGGTAGGAGGGTCCAATGGGAGGGATAGAGAGTGGGTGTTAAGACATGGAATGCTCAAGGGAGATCTTCCTCTGAGTTCTCATTGACAAGAAAAGCTATACTTACCCAAAACAACCAGTTCCTTTTTAAATGTCAATATCATATCCCCTAGTATTTCCTTCTTTGCTCTGGCCACCAGGGAGCTCAAAGCCAAATTTTTTAGCACACTTTCCTCACCTTCAGCAAAGTCATAGTACCGTGTAGTACCTCTCTGGGAACTCACTTCCCCTCCGACTTCATCTTAGCATTATTCTTGCTTTTGCCTGAATTTTGTATCTATTTTTCCTCCTCCTCCTTTTTCTCTGTTTTGGTTCCCTCCTCTTCTCTTTCAGCTTTTCCTTATTATTTATATGCAGTATGTGTTTATGTATAATATCTTAGATCTCCCTTCCTTTTTAACAACACAGATAAAAACAAAACAAAACAAAAAAGAAAAACAGAGACACCATGAAGTTGGTCAGTCTCTGGGACCTGAGAGAGGAATATAGGCTGGTTCTTTCGTTGTTTCCTTCCCACCAACTCTAAGTGGGGGGAGCATTGCCTTGTCTTTTCATTCATTTATCAGAGGCCGCGTGCAGAGTAGGACCATCATAGACTCTGGACTCAGTGAGCAGTGCTAGGTTTGAATTCTGACTCCATCACTATATCAGTTTCCTTTTCCTGCTGTAACAAATTACCAAAAACTTCTTGGCTTAAAACAACACATGTTTATCATCTTACAGTTCTGGAGGATGTAAGTCCAAACTCCGTCACAGTGGTTAGGGTGTGAGCAGGGCTGGTTCCTTCTGAGCCTCTAGGGGAGACCCCATTCCTGCCACGTTAAGCTCCTATAGGCCGCCTGCATTCCTTGGCTCATGCGACCCCCCCATTTTCCAGGACAGCAGCATGGCATCATCCTGCCTCCTTCACTGACTCTGCTTCCCTCATCACATTGCCTTCCCCTCTTCTGACCTGCCTGCCTCTTTCTGAGAAGGATCCTTGTGATTACGTGGATCATCTAGGATAGTCCTGCCATCTCAAAATCCTTAACTTAGTCACACCCCTAAACTCCCTCTTGCCATGTGGGATGACATATTCACAGAATCTGGGGATTGGGACATAGACGTCTGGGAAGAATATTATTCTGTCTACCACAGTGGCTAATTCTGGGCCTTAGTTTCCCTCATCCATAAGGCAGAGGCAGCAAAATCCTACAGGCTGTTTGGGGAAGTGGAAACATGAGCTTCATCAAATGGGGTCACACAGATTTTGGGGTCTCCCTCATAAACTGTCCTCGGGCCCATCCTCTGCATCATAGTGTGAGCGAGACCATTATCTTTACAGCCAACCAGAATTCATTGAATGGAGATTTATACATCGTTATCATGTTGGTCTGCCCGGGCTGCCATAGCCAAACACCACAGTTGGTGGTTCAAACAACAGAAACTTAGTTTTTACAGTCTGGAAGCTGGAAGTCCAACATCAAGCTGGTGGCAGATTCAGTGTCTGGTGAGAGTCCGCTTCCCGCTCTCAGGTGGCCATCTACTCGCTGTGTCCTCACTGGGGGGGAAGGAGGAAGGGCTCAGGCCTCTCCCTCTTTTCCCAAGGACACAAATTCCATCACGGGGGCTCCACACTCACAACCTCATATAAACCAAGTCACCTCTCAAAGGCCGCACCTCCTTATACCATCACAGTGGGGGTGAGGGCTCCGACATAGGAACTTGGGGGGCACCCAGACTCTCAGTCCATTAACAGCTATCTTGCACCTCCACGTGGCGATTCAGAACATAGCATGTGTGATGGAGAAGCCGTGGTGTCAGAGCCAGGAGAGGGCCCCGGTCGGCCACGACCCAGCCGCGTCGTCTGGGGCTGGGGCTGCGCCTCGCCGGCCTTCTGGGGCCTTGTCTCTAAAATGTGGGGCCTAAAAAATATCTGCACCGCAGGAGCATGCCGAGGAGCACGTGAAACCGTCCATGCCATGCGTCTCTGTCACCACGAGCCGGGGGCAGATGCGAGTGCCGGGCAGCTGCCAGATCACGGTTCCCACCTCCCCGGCCTCGCCGCAGCACGGCTTCCTCAGGCCACTGCCTCTTAGAGTACGGTTTTCAGCAGCCGATAGTGCACTTAGCAAGGTGGGGGCTTTTGACGGCACCCACTTGGGTTTTACTTCCCCTCCTAGAATTCCTGCCTCAGAGCTGGAAACAACAGTCAGTTGAGCACCCATGGCATACTAGGAATGTGCAGATGGCCTTTTGTGCTTTATTTTTTTTTTTCAGTCGGAGGGGTCTTGACTGTTTTCAGTTTACAGTGGAAGGAATTGAAGATCGGGGGTCCCGTCTCTGAGTGGTAGTAGTAATGGTTTGACGCGGATCATCTTAGTTATGAAAATCGCAGCAACTACTGGAGTTCTTCTAGCAGAAGCTCACCTTTGTCCTGTGCCTTCTGTGTGCCGGGCATTGGGCTCAAGTTCGACATTCATTATTCATTTACCCCACCCGAGAGGTAGGTGTGCTCATCATCCCCAGTTTCAGATGAAGAAACTGAGCCTCAGAGAGGCCCCAGGATTATCTGAAGCCCCACCTCATGAAGGACATGATTGGCAGAGACCCAATTTGAGTCCTCATCTCTTGCCCCTCTCACAAGACTGCGCTGGCTCCCCGAGCCTGTCTGTCCCCTTCCACTGCCAAGAAGTAGGGGTTTTTTTTGTGCTCAAAGATCCTCAAGCTCCCCACCATCCCAGACTGATGTATTTTAAAGGGTAGCCTTTGCTGCAAAACTAAGACCAAGGAGGACCAACCTGCTCCCCCCAACAACCGACCCCCGACCGTGGAAGCTTCCACCTGGCCCACCTGCCTTTGTGGCTGAGTCCGGGGAAAGAAAAGAAGAAAGTTCAGTGAAGCCTCCAGTGGGCGGTCTCGCCCAGGGCCCATTAGCAGGCTGGAGTGACAAGTGTGGCACGCCTGCGGCTCATCCGGTGTCTAATGGAATAGAAACGAGCACCTTACTGCCCTTGTTTCCCAGTGGCTCGTCCAGGGCTCTGCGAGGTTTATTAATCTTA